AAATGTTCATTTGTCTTGTCGTTTGAATGTATACATCTATTGTCGTCACAGTTATTTGCAGAAATATTTACACTGAAGGAAATAATAACTATTAAAATGCCAAATATTAATGAATTTATCAATAGTAATTAAATAACTAAGAATTTGTCTAGTACTAAACTTATTATTGGAAAAAATAATTGAGCTGTATAATACAACGTAACATGTAAGATTTTTATATTTATTTTTATAAATGCAAATGAGCATAAAAGATTTCACGCAATGCATCCGATCGTCACAACAGTTATTTAAATTTTACACTTTTTTTTTATTTTTTTTTTTTTGGTAAAATTATTATAAGTTATACAAAGCAAAGGAGTATTCTGCTTTGAAAACACAAATTTTAATACGGTATACTAATTTTAGAGATCACATCTTCATAGAAGGTTATTAAAATAAAGTAATCTTTCTTATAAGTTATTTCATATTTTGGAACATTTTTGTTAAATAAATATAATAACAATCTAAGCCTGGAAAAAAATACACATAAAACTTTCTATACTCTTCAAGCTAACTTAATTTTTTGATTTAATCAAATGCTACACATAAATCGTTTTATCATTGATATAATCACACGCCAGACTTATTTCTTACAACTAAACAATCGCACAGCAGACTGTTTTACTTAAATTCAACAATCTAACAGCTGGCTGTTTATTATAGTGAAACGATCACTCAGAAAGAATAAGAAACTAATAAACAATGACAATTTAAAATAAATAAAAAATTAGACACGTTCATGAGTCGCAATAGTCTAACTGAACTTGATAATTAAATAATAAGTAAATAATTAAAATTATTTGTCGCAATAGGCTAACAGATCGTGATAATAATTGAATAATAAATAAATTAGAAATATTTGTCGCAATAGGCTAACAGATCGTGATAATAATTAAATAATAAATAAATAAAAGAATATTTAAAAAAAATTAATACCTTTCAACGAATCGCTAACAGCGATAATTATTTTAATTTTTTTAATAGTTTTATGGACTAATTTACCTGATGGAACAATATTAATCCATAAAAATTCCTTGGAGGAGAAAGGAATGCGACTCATTCAAATCACAAATATTGGATATTAATTACGGTTTCAGTAGCCCTTATATTTTTATAATAATTAATAAGGGCGTTAAATAAATCTTCTATCTTATTTGTTTATTTATTTTTATTCTTACAACGAATAACAACAAATAAATAGAAGACGAGGTTAGCTGCATGAGTACCAGTTATATTGGCAGTCATGAAATAGCGTCATATAGTATACTCGTGTTTATTTATGTTTTTGCGATGACACCTGGTGGCAAAAAAGAATATAATACTGACATCCAAATAGTCATAAAGTACTTGACTATAAACATGTTGGCAACAATGATATTCAATTGTGACAATGGTTTTGAAAGACAATTTTGTTAACTTGTTTTTAGCAAGAGAATACCTGAATAAAAAAACATGTATTTAAAAGAGCGCTTAAATTAAAAAGCAACCAGTGTCACCTATATGTGACCGGAAGCCTTGAGGAAAAAGGACGCGTTTACTGTATGACTGATTATTTGTCGCTGTGAACAGGAGTTACACATTTTTTTTTCGATAGAGGATAAAGCAAAAAAATGGCTGATCAAACTCAAAGTAAGTGTTTATAACTCAATTTTTTTTAATTGTAAAGATGTATGTTTACATAACAAAAAAATTTTGCTGATTGATATCTAATCGTTTAATAATAATAATAATAATAATAATAATAAATCTATTAAAAATATTGATTGATCCAAGACATAAAAGAATGAATAAAAATAAAATATGCAAACAATCGAAAAAAAAAAACAATGTTAATAAAAGTGATGTGTAGAAAATAGTAATTGAAACATAATCGCATAAGTAGGGTAAATGCACCAGTTGTTGACCGGTCACCAATTAGATGACCGATGTATATAAAAGTTAGCTAACTAATGTTTTACAAGGGTTTGTTTTTCTTAAAGTATTAAAATAAAAAAATATGGTATTTAATGATCATAATAAAAAATAATGCAATTTATTGTGCAGTGATTAAAGTTAAAAAAAAATATTTTATATTGTTTACAACGCAACCAGCCATAAACCGGTCAAAAATAACTTGCGTTCAATTGAAGAGTGAGTGCATATCATTAATTTAGTGATATTAATTGACATAATATAAAATATTTTAGTTTTATTATGTTAATGAAAGATCAGATTCCAACTTTTATGGAAAAATACAGCAAAATTATCAGTTTTAATATTATTTTAAGACCGGTCAACTATTGGATCTGTCAGAAGCCCATTACCCTGTAAAAAATTCATTCGGTCATCTATTAGACCCTCTGATTTTATCACAATCCAATTAATGACCATATATTTATAATACAAACTTCTTAACCTCAAAATTAAATCTGTCAAGTGTTTATAGTACTTTAGTCATTCAATGTTTTGTAAATCTAAAAATAATTATTATAAAATGTAGATATAAATATATTTATAATTAAAATAATACTTAAAATCTTTTTTAATTATCAAATTTTATTTTATTCTAATTTTTTTAGTGAACGGTTATATCAAAGAATAAATTATTAGAAAAAAAATTGCTAAGCAATTAAAAAAAAAATAAAAAGAGTTACAGGCTAGTAAAAAAGGTTTAATTGAAAAAAAGAAGAAGAGAATAAAAAAATTTCAAGTGAATCGGATGAATTATCGTCATCAAAATGAATTTGTAATTATTTGTGACCTAAAAAAAATGTGACTTTATGTTAATTATTGCTATTATTTATGATTTTATAAAAAAGTACGATTGAAAATTATATTGGAAGTTTAGTTTTCTTAAAGATGCCGTTAATAGTTCAAAAGTACTGAATAAATTTAATTACATACATGTAGTTTACAAAATTACTTACAATTATTTCAGCGGTCAATCAATTGGAGAACGGTTGTTCATTTATTGGGTTTCTTCGGTCAATAATTGGTGATTTTAGTATTTTAAAATTTAAATAACAAAATTAATATAATTTATATTATAAATAATTATTAATTATTATTAATTAAGTATTTAAATTTAATAAAATCCATTACAAATTGTAGTTGACAAGTTAATAGTTTTTTTTATAGCTTAGTACAGAAAAAAAAACCTTAATCGGTCAATAATTGGTGCATTTATCCTACATTGAAATAGAAATTTTTAAAAATTGGGCTTAGTTTAAATTTTAAAACTTAATTTATTTCCAGGTCGACAAGATGAAATTCCTTCAGAACATGAGACAAATAAGGACCTACCAAAAGATTTTAATAATAAATTGTATCGTCGAACGGGTGCCGGAAAGTCAAGAGCAGCTTGGCGAAAACGTCTCCAAAATCTAAAATATTTGTCTTCCGATGGCTCATATATACCAACTTGCCGACATAATTGTCAAACTTGCCGGAATTTTTGCAAGAATTGCAATTTATGTCAACAATAAAATTAATTGCTATGTCAATAAAAAAAAATAAATAAATAATTAAGCAATGAATAAGTAAATTTCCGTGTTTTATTAAATTAAAATTGCAACAACATTTATATTTATATTAAACTTATAATAACATTTAGTGCTACTTAACTTTAATTACCAATAATTTTTAATTAAAAAAAAAATTTTTTTTAAATTCAAAGTATATCTTTTATTTTTAATTTCAACTTTTTTTTTTCAATGACATATTTTATTAAAACCAAAGTTTTATTTTTTCCAAGCTTGAATTAACATTCTTTTATAACTTGAAGGATGGTTTTTTTTACTTTGAAAAACATTATTTTATTTTTGTATTTATCAACTTGAATGACATTATTTTTAAAACTAAAATATCATTGTTTTTAACTTCAATTAATATTTTCTTTGTTTAACTTTATCTTTGTTTTTTTTTTTACACGTAGAATCACAATCTTTTTAAATTTAAATAATATTAAAAAAACCCTTTTTTGAACTGAACATATCATTTTTTTTAACCCCAAACCATTTCTCATTAAATTAAAATAAATTTTTTGTAATTCCAAGTATCTTATTGTATTTTAAACAAAATTCTTTTTTTAACATATAAGTAATATTATCTTTTACCAAAAATAACTTCTTTTTAAATTAAAATAACAATTTTTTTTTAATTTAATATTTTTTTTTTTATCTTAACGAATAAATCATTCTTTTTCTTTTATCCAAGACATTTATTTTTAAAACTTAAAATATGTTTTTTATGAGAAAGATAATTTTTTTGAACGAAAAATACCATTGTCCTAATCCTAAAAATTTTTTTCAAACTTAAAGAACATTACTGTTAAATTGTAACATTTTTTTTTTTAATTCAAATTTTTTTTTTAAATAAAAATAACTTTTTTTTTTTAACTTAAAATAACATATTTTTTAACTTGAATAATATATTTTTTTCGACGAACAATAACCTATTTTTTTATAACAAATAAAATATCATTCTTTTTCTTTTACCCGAAACATTTCTTTTGAAACTATAATATTTTTTTTACGTCGAAGATAATTTTTTTAAATTAAAAATGTCATTTTTCTAACCCTAAATTCTTTTTTATAAACTTAAATGAACATTCTTTTCAAATTAAAAATTTTTTTTTAATTCAAACAAATTTTTTTAACAAAAAACTTTTTTTTACTTTTTTTAAATTTTTTTTTTACTTTTTTAAAATTTTTTTTTAAATTTTTCTTTACTTTTTTAAAATTTTTTTTACTTTTTTTAAAATTTTTTTAACTTGAGGGAAAACAATTATCATCCAGTTGATCGAGTATTTTTTGAGCCTTGGATCTAATATCGAGAAATAAAAATTAAGTAAAGAACGTCAAGCTCTTGTTTACGAAACTTTAAGATCAGCTACCAACAAACACTTTTTAAACTATAATATATTTTTTTAAGTTTCAATTTAAACAATAAAAATTAAAACTAATCTTATAAACATTTAAAAATCACAATAGTTTGTCCAAGTTTTCAATACACCGACATCTAACACAATCCCTTTGACAAAAGTCTTGACAGGCGGTGCAATTATTGCGACAATTAAAGTTTCGTCTCCGGTATGTCCCAGTATTTTCCTTTTCAACAGCTGATTTTTGTTTACAGATTTTAAGAAGCTCAATCTCGCTTAAGTTGGGTTTACCACTTTCTTTGTTTGAAAAAGTCCTAGTTACCTGCGTAGTTCTTGGATTTGTCATCGCATTCTTTGAGTTGCTATTGTTATTGTTCGACGATGAAAGACTACCGCCTGACGTGATCTGATTTTTATCAGACCACGTCGATTCGCAATTTGCCTGCTCTTTTAAAACCACTGGCACACCGTCCGATTTACCGCTTAGTTGGTCATTATAAAATGATTGTGGCATCACTGGATGTTGAAATGAGTGAGCTGACGTTCCTACTGTTCCTCCAAATTGAGATGGCATGTATTGTACACCTAGATTTGGTGTGTAATTGTAAGGTGGTACTGAATGGTTCAGGGCTGAAGAAGGATATGTGTAATACGGTTGCGGGACAAACATTACTTGATGTTGATTAGGAATAATCTGTTGGGGTTGCTGGTTTACTTGGTGGTGTGGCACATGGTGAAACTGTGGAAAATTCGGAACGACAGGCTGATTTTGAATTCCGTGATAGGCTTTCGCATGTTGGATGAGTGACGGATCATCATGCTGTTCAACAGTTTTGGACGTACGACTTAAATCTATTGGAATTGTTTCAGTAGAAACATTTTCTAAAAGGATAAATAAACAAATAAGTTGACATGTATTCAAGTTAACATGTAAACAAGCAAACAACTTAATGCATATCAATAACTTACTTTCACTGTTTTCCATTTCGGATTTAATTTTGATTAACACGTTAACAAATGGATTTTAATTTCAGCTTAAGAAAGGAACTAAAAAGAAAAAATAGAATTTTTATATTTTATAATGAAAAGAAAAAGTTCTAAAAAAAAAAATTTTAAGTTCATGAAAATTTATCCAAAATTTCAAAATGAAAAAAAAAATTCAAAATTTTACTTTTGTACAAAAATTTTAATTTGCAAAAAATTTTAATTTTAGAAACTAATTTCCAACTAAAAAAAAAATTTCAATTTTGAAAGAAAATATTTTTGAATCTTAATATGAAACGAAAAATAAAATCCAAGAATCAAAACTTGGTAAACAAATTGATAAAATAGAAAAGACTACCGGGTTTTCTATGAAAATTTTGAGGTTAATGATGTAAATAACCTGTAAATCAGATAATTTTTTTTTTTATTGAGAACTTTGTTATTTTATGCATAGATATATTTTTTCGGCAAATTTTTTTACAATTTTTGAATTAGTTTTATAGTTTTTTTTTTTATAATTATTTGTGATTATAAAGATTATAATTATAAGAAAAAAAATACGTACCTACTTGGTCCAATATTCGAATGAAAAGGCCGGTATAGCTTGACAATTTTTTTTTCTGCTATTTTTCATTAAAACATAAATGCCAACATAAATGCAAATATGAAGCAAACGAAAAAAGTAAATAACAGTAATTTATCAATCAAACGGATTCTGACTATATTTGAGATCCTGACTATATTTGATATCAGAAAAATATTTGGCTAAAAGTGACCGTTATGCAGTATTGTAAAAAATAAATGTTAAACTACCAATTCAGTTGACTCTTGTGCCTCCATCTGGTGGATATTAAATTATTTTGTTGAAAACCTTGAGATGCGTTCCATTAAGCGCTCGAAACGATCGCGCCACTTGTATTTAGACAGGATTATACAGTCAAAGCTGTTAAAAGTTAACCAGGTTGTCTTTCTTGCTCTTGTTAGCGTTTAATAAAAAATTGGAACAGAACTATGGTAACTTTTAACAGCTTTCACTGTAGTCGTTTATAGCTCTTAGAGGAACGCACCCTTACTTACTATAGTTCTTTCGCCCGGGAGTTTCGAAATGCCAAAACTCAATTTGCTCCATTCTTCTCCCACCATACCTCTCGTACACGCATCCACGCTTGTACATATATAACACGTATTTCTACTACGTATAAATGATCGAAAAGTAGCGTCCATAAAAATTTTATTTATAATTAAGCTGGTTTCCTCCAAAAAATCAGCATCGTATATATAAAAATTTTCTGCCGACTTAGATATGTTGTTGGTTATGAAAGTAAACTTTTCATAACCCACAGAAAGCTTATATTTATTATTTTTGCCGTCTTTTAATTGATCTTTATTGCTATCACTCATTAAAGATTCGTACAAATGCTGCAAAGTATTTAATTCTCCTTGGATATGGCAAGCCATAGGCTGCTCGTTCTTTGCATACTGTTGCAGTGATCTTCGCCGCTTTGCCAGGGGATTTCTCGCGGCAGCATCAGGGTCTCTATGAACATAATAAACCTATTAACTACAATTCTCAAGTCCGGTACTACTCGACATTTTGCAACGATTGAAATGAAGGATAATAAATAACACAAAATATATATTTTAAATGTTTTTCTTACTCGATTTCGGAATTTAAATGTATCAACTTTGGTGTCATCCCGATGATTTTACTAAGTTCTTGCTGGTATTTTCGAAAATTTCTGTCTTCGACCAAATTTGGATCAGGGTCATGATTGTGTTCACCGTTTTGTTCGTCTTTTTGATAAACACCATTGACGAACCTACCACTTAATCGGCATTTCTTCGACGGATCGTTGTGACTCATCTATAAATTGACTAATCATTGTTTTAATAACTCGGTTAGTTCTTTCTACAGGATTAAATTGTGGTGAATATGGAGGTGTTCGCATGTGCTGTATTTGATAACTTCTAAGCATCTCGCTGAAATTATTACTAGTGAATTGGGTTCCATTATTTGTTATGACTATTTTTGGAGTCCCAAAGCGTAATATCACTTGATGTTTGAATGCTTCGCTGATAACATCGGCTACCGCTTTCTTTAAAGGGTGTAATTCTACCCACGGTGAATTTATCTTGTATCACCAGGAGATAGCTATTAGTCCTTTCGCCACAATAGTCTGTATTCAAAATTTCAAAATATATGTCGAAGGAAAGTTAAGGCCTTCCTGTACGTATTTTGATATGAGGAATTCAAATCTGAAGTTTATTTTTATCGAGCATGGTCGAGTTAATTGTTATTAACAATTTAAATGTTTAAACTGCAATATCTCCTAAATGGAAATAGTTAACGATTTTTTTTTCACCATTGGGTTCCTTATAAAATACGGAACAAAAAATATCTAAGTCATTTTTTTTTATCTCTAATAGTTCAAAAGATATTTAAATATTTTATGTAAAAAGCTTAGTCAGAGCGAGAAATACGTGAGTTGCGCGCGTCGCTTCTCACGTACATGCACGCACACATTCACCTACTCACGCTGCCTCTTGCTGTACTGGTGTGCTTTTAATAAAGAAGACGGCACTCCTTGTCTCACTCCGTCCTTGTTTATCACTCACAAAAATGTCGACCGCTCTTTGTTTTTTTTATACGCGATTCTCGAGCGCGAATTCGGAAATGAAAATCGCTGTTCAGCTTATTGTTTTCCATTATTGTATGTTGAACGCTTTATGGTTCCAGTTTTTATTCTCTTGTAATGCATGCTATTTTTAATCGCATTATTGCTTATTTAGTAAATAAATATTTATAAATAATTAAATTCATATTTTAGAAATGTAAATAATGTATATATATTTATAAAAGTTATGTGATTTTTCGATAATGTGTAGTTATGTCATTATAAATTATTGTATAGTTTTAGAACAATGGAAAATAGTGAACTTGATATAGTTAATAACACTTCCTCCGTGTGTGTGTAATTTGCAATAAAAAGTCTTTTAAAAAAAATGAAAAAAAAAGTGCTAACATGATTGAAAATACTTTAAAAAATTTTGACTTCGATTTAAATGACCGGTTTTGTGATGCAATAGATTTAAAAGATTCTTATTGAAATGAAAAAAAAAGTAATACTTTGCTGAAAACCGGGAAACTATTTGAAAATGATGAGCAGATAAACTTATTTAAAATTAATTTTGTGCCTCTCAATTCAACGCATTTACTTACATCTACAAATAATTTTTCATCTACCGAAAAATATTCTAAAATTATTTGTTTATCGGGAAGTGATGCTATGGTTTGTTTTTTAGCATTTAAAAAAACTGGTTTTAGCGTAAATAAATCAGCATTATCTTTCCAAAACGATAACATTGCTTTTTGATGATGATCAGAAAGAGTAAATGCAATGTCTACAAAATTTTTAATTTTTTCAGCCAGACTTTTCAAAAAACCATTTTTACTCTCATACCTCATTGTCCATTGGATTTTTGGAGGTCCCATTTTTTTTATTATTGTTGGATAATGAGTTAGTTAATAGTATGTGGTCTTTGGGAATCAAATGGACTGAATAGACACTGATCAAAAGTTGATGATGTTCAGTAATGCTTTTCTCCAAAGTAGTTAACATGTTTTTTGTTATTTTAGTTGCAAAAGTAAGTTTTACAATGTCTATTATTAATAATATAAGTTTCCACCTATTCCAATCTTTTTTTGGTATTTTTACAACAATATCTTTAATAATTAAGGGTAAAAAATTAATAAGACAGTGCGTATGCGCTACATGCTGTCCAATACTGTTGGAAGTTTTGCTTAACTTTATGCCACTAGGTATGTTTGAGCGGTTATGTAAACCGTAATTAAAAGCCTGTATCTTATTATTTAAATCTTCAAGTGTAATTAATCGTTTCTCTTTTAAATAAGTAAAAAATAATTTGAGATCTCGTTGACAAACACCCTTCAATAAGTCATGCATGACATCAATAGTATAATTTTCACAAATCTTAAAATTTTTAAGATCGTTCAAAGGCGTATATTTTTTAATTCCAAAAAAATTTAGGGTATCACTATTGGCGCAATTAAGACATTTGGATAGATATTTAAAACTTTCAGAGGTACGTAGTAACTTATCATCAGCAATACAAGTTATCTGAGCTTCTTCCTTTGAAATATTACATATTCTACAATAATGGTTAGAAGAAAAAGATTCATGCATGCCTAGCAGCATTGCAGCACCCAGATTATCACAAGATAAAGAAACTAATACTCCTTTAACAACAGAATCTAAAGACTTTATATAAATACTGACAGACTCTAAAATTTTTACGTCATCAAGTATTACATCTAGTACAGGAGTTATTCCCAATTCTTTAATGTCATAATTGTAGCATAACGCAAGTAAGTGAATATTATTTAAATTAGAGTTAAGATAAGATTAGACTTATCTAATTCAAATTATCGATATTTTCTATCTAAGGTGGCTAAGCTCACCCCTATTGCGTTATTGCAACGTAATTTTACACATTCACACTTACAAAGTTCTTCAAAATTATTTACTTGATTAAAGTTAATTTTTTTACTTTCAAAAAATATTATTTTTACAATTAAAAAAAAAATTACTGTTCTTTTTAATGAATCATGAATTTATGAAATTGTTCAATTTTAAAAATTTTAAAATATCTAAGGAGGTTTGAGCGCAAATTATGAATCAAAATAATGTTGAATTTTTTTTTTACTTTCAATCTTCCCAATATTCGTCAAAATTCTTTATTCTAATTTAAAATAATTTGAACAATTCAATAGTTGATGATTTTTACTTATTTAATAAATTAAAGTAATGAAATGACTTTCGTATTTTTTACTTGCCGGATTAAATAAACAGATTTGGCAACAGCGCATTTGATTATATTCATTACAGAGGCGTGCATGAGTGTCTGAGTTAAATATTTCTCTCTCTGTAACTATATTTCTATCCTTTTCTTTTTTCTCAGCTGACGCGACGTTGTCAAATCTTTATTCGAATAAATAGCTGACGATAAACGAGTCAAAAACATAAAATTTAACTTCAAATATTTCAAAAATTATATCGATAATGTATTATTACTAATTTTTTTTTATATTTTACAATAATCCAAATTTCTTGTGTATAGTTTTTTATTCGTTAAAGTTGGGAGGTTAATATTGAAAAAAATAATTAAAGTCTCGACTAAAATTTGTCCGCCATAAGAGCCCGTGTATAAGGAGATAAAAAATGTGATTTTTGAAATTTAATATCTAAGTAACTAAACGGTGAATCTTCTCAAAATTTTGGGATTAGATAAATTACGTATTTATTTATACGTGTACTTAATTTCATAGCTCAAAGTTGGAAATTATTTTTCACATTAGATTCGCTCGAACTTCCTTAAAGTAAATTCTTTTCAATATTATTGTAGGTAAGCTATGAATTGGTTATCACGACATTGCAAGCAGCATAAAGTGACTTTCCTAAATAAACTTACAGTACTAGAATCCTCAACTATGTAATCTTCAGGTTTTCCATTTTCAATGGTTCGAATCTCTTGAATTCGGGTCCTGTTTGTCACAAGCACATCATCTATCGGAGTCAAGTAATGTTCAATGTCTTCGCCAAAAGCTCTAATTTTTACGCGATGTCCTGCTTGAGCGTCTCTTTTCTGAATTTTTGCTGACTGAATCTCGACTACTTCGTAAGGAGGTACTGCAATTTCATTGCAAACATCGTATAAATTAATTAGCTTTACTCAAGTTACAGATTTGGGTCCTGTAAATACATTGAAAATTGGGTTTATTACTTACCGTTTGTTTCTGCTGTACGAAACACCTTGAGTCTTTCTTCAGGTGTCATCTGAAGATGGATCTACAATGAAAATTAATGTTTCTTATTCCAAAATCATCATCCGCTCATAAAATTCATATTTTAAGAAAAACTTTCGCTTTCTGTTTCTAAGAATTAACTCAAAATAAAAACATATTAATCCGAAAAGTTACCTCGGGAAGTAACGCTCCGAGAACTGGACCAATAAGCGCTAGTCCAGCAATAATAATTTGAACTGAAATTCCTGAGAAAAATTTTTTTTAAATTAGTCATTTTTCAATTATAATTGAAGCTTAGCGGAGTCTCATCGTACTTACCAATCATTTTGATACTCTTGATTTTCCGATCGATTTTTTTCGAGTGAAGACAATTTCAACAACTTCGTTATTTTAGTGGTTTTTATACTAATTTTACCGATCATAAATCCCACTGTAAATCTTAGAATTAGTTGTTCAAATACTTGTATAGTCACTACAGGAATAATCAATTACTTTTCTTATGACGCTGACTGTTTGCTGTCAACAACATAAATCCAAAAAACTGAAAGTTCTACATACAATAAATACGTAAATAAATTTTTGTCAAAATAGTATTAGTTTAACAGATATAATAGTCTTCCATAATTTGTCTGGTATACTTATCAATAAATTTTCTTGCTGTTTATTTAGATAGTATATCAATCAATTAAAAATTCAAGTGCATTCAGTCATAAATACTATAATTTTTTATTCATACTGATATATCACCTGATCTGCCTTAGCAGATCTGGCCAGATCTTTAAATTGCCTCTATCTGACGAGATCTGGCCAGATATAATCAGATCTGACCAGATCTCGTCAGATTTTAAAATTGCCCAGGTAAAAAAGATTATATATAATTATATATACTCATACATAACTATATACGAAAAATGGCCATATATAATTATATAAAATTATTTCCATAGAAAAAAAAAAAAAAAAAAAAAATCGGCGCGCGCGGGAACCGAACCTGGGACCTGACGCTTGAAAGACTAATTCATTACCTTTTTTTTTTTTTTTTTTATAAATGTTTGTTTTTATTG